GGGGGGTGGGCTGGGGGTTAGGGGAGGGGGTGGGAGGGGGGAGAATAGGGGAACCCGTGGCTGATATGTAGAACTAAATGGTATTGTAAAATAAAATAAATAAAATTTTTTAAAAAATGAATACCTATCAGTTATTCAGTTATATGTATAAATGTATAATTTTACATCATGAGGTTCGTAGCCTAGGAAAACAGGAAGTGATGCAGCCATGCAGTGCATCTGCAGTCCTAGAATAAAGACCTGGAGTCAGATTGATCTGTCCCCCTCACTTGGATACAGGTTTTAATGGAGGTCATAGAACTAGAATATGAAGAATGTTTCTCCAGATAATTTCCAAATTTCTTGTTAGACTATAGGGAATATTTATTCATCATATATGTCTGTTCCCTAAATAAGAACCCAAAAATAATTTCCCCTAACTATATCACCCAGAGGAGCAATGATACAATGAAACATTATCTTCCAGACACAACAGGACTGACACATAAATGAGCTCACAGAGACAGTAACAAATGCATTTCTTATGTCCATATTTAATGGACATGGTCATCTCAGGAGTGCAAAACATAGAGGAGGAAAGAAAGCTCATACCTTGTGGGTATAAGGAAGAAAAATATTGGCACGGACATTACCAGCTGAAGGTGGTGCCGTTTCAAAATGCAAATGCCAGACCTGTCATTACTATTCTTCCAAAACTGGAAGCACATAGCATCAAGATTGTCACCAAGGCTTTGAATTTAGGGCTTGTCCATTCTATCACTGAAAGGAAAGAAAAATGAATCTTGATTTCTACTAAAGGTGGGAAGGACACCCACATCAAACAAAAACTTGAACAATGTCCATCCAAAGTTTTGACTTACTGAGCAAAACACTATTTGTGTATATGATTGGGACACAAGCCCCTTTCAGGAAGTGAAGTAAGCAGTAGATGAAGAAGGTGGGAGCCAAAGCTGCACAGGTCCCAGTGATGGCCATTGGAAGTAAAGCACATGTGAGGATTAACCTCCTCCCAAACCTGAGGAAAAGATAAAGTCTCCTTCAGCGAAATAATAGAGTTGTTAAAAAAGAAGAAATAGCATTTTGTGTAATTGCTGGAGTTATCTTTTCTCATTTTTCTAAACCATGTTTTTCTCTGTCTCTTAATCTTTTTTGACTTCTTCCATGTTTAATAGGCTGTTAGTTCTGTGTCAACACAGCACACAGACTTTTAAACACCGACTGAAATGCCTGTTTGTGTTTCATGATCTCTAGTGTCAAAGGTACACCCAGAGGAACATAATCTGCAATGACTGTTTTCTAGAGTGAATGAGTTGCAGATGATGAAAATACTCACATGTAGAAAGGACTGCAAAGCACAGACTCACCTGTCTGTTAAATGGCCACCTAGGAAACTTCCTACCAAAATTCCAATCATGAATAGTAATTTAGCCACTGACCCAGTACCTGAGATCCACACACTAGGTCCCACTGGAAGAGAAGTAAATCAGCATGACAGCCTGTCACTGTAATTTGTTCAAAATTATTCAACATGAGCTTCCTGTTCGACTGAACCCATCTCCCTCTCCAGCTTCCCTTTTAATTATTACATGATTTCTACTATCCATATATATATCTGTGTGTGTTTGTATATATATATAT